CTTGTCTTATTGCTATTGCTAAGACTTCCAAAACAATATTGAATAAAAGAGGTGATAGTGGGCATCCTTGCCTAGTTCCTGTTCTTAAAGGGAATGAGGCTAGAATTTTTAAGCTCCTCCTCATTTAACTTTTGGGCATATGTGGCCAGGGTCCTTGCAGAAGGACATCATGCTCGGAAGGGTGGACAGACAGCTCAGGAGAGGAAAACCCTGGATAAGAAGGATTGATAGAGTGACTGGGGCAGTGGGACTTGGTGTGTCAGAATTAATGAGACTAGCTCAGGTCAGGGGAAGGTTCAGACATGCAGAGGGTTCAGACATAGGGTCGCTATATATGGCAGGCGACTCAACCAGTAACATTCTATGACAGATTTGGAAGCAGGAGTGGCATCCACTTCCTAAACAACTTGCCTCCAGAAAGGATGAACTTTGGTAAATGTCAATAGTGGTAGAAAGGCTTCAGGCCTTTTGTTCATAGAGTTGCTATAAGTTCTGCTTGACTTGAAGGCAATCAACACACACACTTTGCTCATGTTGTTAGAAGGAGCTATTCCTTGGAAAGGGCTATCTTGGTTGGAAAGGTAGAAGGTCAGCTAAGGAGAGGAAGACTTTCAACCTGAATAGGTTGACATGATAACTGCAGCAGTGGACTAAAATATTCTTGAGAAAGGTTCAGGGTGGTTTCTCATGGATTTGATTCAATAGCGTCTCACAGTACCTTTTGTTTCTTTTTTGGCTTTATATATTTCTGATTTTAACTCAAAATCAAGTTCAGAAAATGTTATTTTATATTCTAGCTAGGATAAATTTAAGAACATGTATTTGCACTGTATTACAAAGAGTAACTTATTTTAATTATTTATACTATGCTTGTATATACTGAATGACATATGTAAAAATTTTGAGTCAAAACAAAAAATGAATGCCGTATAATATTTTTTGGAAGCAGGAGTTGCATCCGCTTCCAAAACAACATGCTTCTGCAAACTTTATGAAGTTTGATAAATGTCAGTAGTTATAGAAAGGCTTCAGGCCTTTTGTTCTTCGAGTCGATATGAATTGTGCTTGACTCAAAGGCAATCAGTAATACAATATTTTAGGAGATAACTGATTTTGTTGTTCTTAGTTACTTAATCTGTTGTGTTTAGATAAGCGCTGTTTTAAATAATAGTTGGCTTAATTGGTAATAGACTGTGCTGCTAATGCAGAGGTCGTGCCTCTGAATCCATCAGTGGCTCCTTGTGAGAAAGATGGTTAGACTCTTAGGCTGTTTGAAACTTACGAAAACTTGCTGAAGGGTCAGCTATGAGTCCATCCCAACTCGATAGTAGTGAGTCTTGAATTAAATAACAGATAATAGTTTAGTGACATATTGTCTATATTTAAGAAAATGTAGTAGAGTATTTAAAGATTGACAAAAACAGGTTTTTAGAATATAGTCCTGTTCCCCTCTTACTACTTTTAATAATGTGCACCTAAAAGTACCTTTCTTTTGGATAATTCATTACTCCGATAATAAGTGTCTATATATACAGTTATTTTCCTAATCTTAAAAACAAGATGTTTGTACATCTTTTATGATTTACAAAAGTTATAGGAAGTAGCAAGTGTTTTTTCATATTTCTGAGACTGTTAACCCTGTTGTTGTTGTTATGTGCCATCGAGTCGCTTGCGACTCATAGAGATCCAGTGTACAAGAGCCCTAAATGCCGTTCTATCCTGTGTCAACCTCGCCGTCTCAGACACACTCATTCCCACCACCCCAATCACAGAATCGATCCATCTCATTGAGGGTCTTCCCCTCCACTCTCCCAGACATAATGTTTCTCTCCAAGGACCAGTCCCTCCTTGCAACATACCCAAAGTGTGTCAGATGAAGCTTCAGAATCCTTGATTCCAAGGAACATTTCGGTTTCATCCTCTCCAGGACAAACCTGTTTGTTCTCCTAGCTGTCTATGGTATATTGAACACTCTTCTGCAGCAACACAGCTCAAAGGCATAAATTCTCTTTCTATCATCCCTACTTTCTGTCCAACTTTCTGATGCATAGCACGTAATTGCAAGTATTATAGCCTGGATCAGGTGCACCTTAGTCTCCAGCCTGACATTGTTGCTCTTCAGTACTCTTGAGAGGTCCTTCACAGCTGACTTTCCCAATTCAATTTGTCTCTTGATTTCCTGGCTGCTTGTACCAAGAGTGTTGACTGTGGAGCCAAGTAAATTAAAACTGTTAACTGTCTCAATATCTTCACTATCCATACTGATGCTGCCAATTGGCCCAGTGGTGGGAATCCTTGTTTTGTTGATGTTGAGCTTCAATCCATATTGAAGGCTGTAGTCCTTGACCTTCTGCAGCAAGTGCTTCAGGTCCTCTTCAGTTCATCCACATAATGCAGGTTGTTGATGACTCTTCCACCAATCCTGATGCCACATTCCTCCTTGTACAGCCCAGTGTCTTGGATGCTTTGTTCTGCATACAGATTGAAAAGATATGGAGGCAAAATACATCCCTGACAGAACCCCTTCTTGATTTTGAACCATGTAGTGTCTCCTTGCTTTGTTCTGATGACTGCCACTTGGTCCAAGTTAGCACAATCAAATGTTCTGGGATTCCCATTCTTTTCAGAGTCAGCCATAGCTTGTTGTGATCCACACAGTCAAAAGCCTTTGCATAGTCAATGAAGCACAGATAGACATCCTTCTCCTATTCTCTGCTTTCTGCCAAGATCCATCCAACATTAGCTATAATATCCCTAGTACCACAACCTCTTTTAATCCAGCCTGAACATCTGGCAGTTCTCTGTTGACATATTGCTCCAGACATTTTTGGATAATTTTCAGCAGAATTTTACTTGCATGTGATATTAATGATATTGTTCAATAATTTCCACACTCTGTTGTGTTACCTTTCTTTGGAGTAGGAACAACTGTTAACCCTAGCAAATGTTTATCAGTAAATTTTTTAAAAATGACACATTTCATTTTTAGAAAATTTTATCTCAAAACACCTGTTTTCCAGCTTATTCTTGCAGGGGCTCTTCGGATTGCTGACAAGGTCGAATCAGGGAAGACATCTGTGGTGGTGCATTGCAGTGATGGGTGGGACCGCACAGCACAGCTGACTTCCTTGGCCATGCTCATGTTGGATGGATACTATAGAACCATTCGAGGATTCGAAGTCCTTGTGGAGAAGGAATGGCTAAGCTTTGGACATCGATTTCAACTAGTGAGTAAAGAACCTTGATGTACCACATACAAGGCATGCAAAGTTAGGCCTTTTCTTCATTAAATTTTCATCTGAAAACAGATTACTTATGCTAGGAGAAGAAATATCTGAAGGGAATTGTTTGTTTTGGAGAACAGTTTGCAGTCTGGAGCCGTGACTGGCTGTTTGTATGGCTTCTGGTAGAATTTTTTTTTTTTTGTGCTCTCTACCAGGAATATCCAGTATCATTGAGTAACTTCCCAGTCTCACCCAGGTGTTTTGCCTACAGTTCGTTCATTTTAGTAGAAGAATCTGGACTTCAAGGCATTTTTAACTTTTCCTGTAAACTTGCATGTTGTCAGGAGGGACCAGTCCTTGGAGAGTAACAGTGTACTTGGAAAAGTGGAGAGGCAGTGCAGGAGAGGAAGACCCTGAATGAAATGGATTGACATAGTGACTGTGGCATGGGGTCAGGCGTAGAGCAGATTGGCTCTAGATAGGGTAGGGTTCAGAGGTATTGTTCAGTGTCGCTATGAGTTGGAGTTGACTTGATGGCACTTAACAACAACAAAATGATAGAGTAAGAATAAAAGCTTAACTCAGAATTGGGAATAAAATGCATAGCTTCTTTATTAGACATCTTAAATTACTGAAACTATCTAGACCATATCTGTGGAAATGTTTACAGACTGCTGTTGTCCTGTGCCATTGATAGTGAGCCTGTGAACAGCACCTCTGAACCCTGTCCTGCCCTGCACCATCCTTATCATCTGGGACATTCTTGAGCTCATTGCTGCAGTCACTGTGTCAGTCAACCTCATGGAGGGTCTTCCTTTCCTTACCTGACCCTCTGTGTTTCTAAGCATGATGTCCCTTTTCAAGGAATGGAAGCAACATGCCCAAAGTATCAGAGACAAAAAGATTCACCATCCTTGCCTCTAAAGAGCTCTCTGGCTGTACTTTCTCAAAGACATACTTGTTGTTTTGGTGCATCTAAAGTATGATAGATGAAATGTTGTAATCTTTGTTTCTAAAAAGCACTCTGAATGTACCTCCTCCAAGACTGACTTGATGGTTTTAGTTGTTTTTGTTTGTTTGTTTGAGAGGGAGAACCTAAGATTCTCCTTGAAGGCTAGGTTTTTTTTCTTTGCATTTTTAAATTAATTTTAATGGAAATTTATAGACTTTGGATTTCCATTCATTCACTGATGCACTCTTCTCCCTGCCTACCCCTTCCCCAATTCACTCTTCTCTTTGGAAAGTAAAAGAAAAATTCTTTCATTGTTATACAATCCCTCCCCCTAAGTCCATGACAATAATACCTAATCATATATCCCTTTTAAACAGTTTTCTCCCTCATTTGTTTCAATGCAGTATACATTATTTATTCCATCTCTCAGTCTTTCTTCAATCCCATTTTACAACAGTGGCACTGTGCAATATTTGTCCTTTTGTGACAGATATTTCACTCAGCATGATGTCCTCCAGGGTCATCCCTTTTGTATAATATTTCATGAGTTTCTTGTTTTTCAATGCAGCATAGTATTCCATTGTGTGAATATACCAGAGCTTCTCTATCCATTTGTCTGTTGATGGGCATTTGGGTTGTTTTTAGTGCTTTGCTATTGTGGACAAAGCAGCAATAAATATGTGTGTGCATATATCTGCTTGGGTGGTGGTTATGGTTTCTTTAGGGTATATTCCCATTAGTGGAATTGCAGGGTCAAATAGTATTTCTATTTTCAACTTTTTGTGAAAATGCCGTATAGCCTTCCATAGTGAGTGCACCATTTTAAACTCCCTCCAGCAGTGAATAAGGATTGCAGTTTCTCTGCAACCTTGCCAGCATTTGTTGTTTGCAGTTCTGTTAAATTTTGTTATTCTTACTGTGGTGAGATGATATCTCATAGTTGTTTTGATTTGCACCTCTCTTAGAGCTAAGGATTTTGAACATTTCTTCATGTGTGTGCTGGTCATCTGAATGTCTTCTTTGGTGAAGTGTGTGTGTCTTCATATCTTGTGCCCATTTTTTAATTGGGTTACTTTATCTTGTGGTACTCGAGTATTTTAGAAATTTTAGATGTAAGTCCCTTATCTAACATAACATTACCAAATATTTTTTCCCCAGTCTGTGGCTTCCCTTTTTACCCTGGTGATGTTTTTGATGTGCATAGGGATTTTGTTCTTGGAAGGTCCCATTCATCTATTTTATCCTCTCATGGTTGTAGATTTTTCAGGGTGTTTGGAAGACTATTCATGTTGTGGATTAGGAATTCTAGAGTTCTTCCAAGCTTTTCTTTAATGAAGTTTATAGTCCTTGGTTTTAGTCCTAGGTCCATTATCCACTTAGAGTTGTTTTTTGTGTATGGAGTGAGGTGTGGATCTTGCTTGAGTTTTCTACAGATAGTTTTCCAATTTTGCCAACACCATTTGTTAAAAAGGCTGTTGTTACCCCACTTAACTGATTTCATCTCCTTGTAAAAATTCAGTTGATCATAGGTAGATGGGCAGATTTCTGGATTCTCAATTCTATTCCATTGATCTATGTGTCTGTCATTGTACCATTCCCACCCCACAGTGTCTTGAACACTGTGTACTTACAATGTACACTTACACATCAGTGTAGTTGGATTTGAAATCAGGGAGTGAGATGCCTCCTACCTTGTTTCTCTTTTTAAGGTGTGCTTTGCTTATTCTGGGCTTCGTTCCATTCCAAATGAAATTAGAAATTGCCTTTTCCATCTCGTTGAAGAATGGAGTGGAATTGGTATTTGTATTGGGATTGCACTGAACGTGTAAATTGCTTTTGGGTAGTATTGTCATTTTCACAATATTGAGTCTTCCTATCCATGAGCAAGGGATATTCTTCCACATCTTCAGGTCTCTTTTTATTTCTTTTAGTACTGTTTTGTAATTTTCTTTGAATATTTCCTTTGTGTTTCTGGTTAGATTTACTCCCAAGTATTTAATCTTGTGATTAGCTATTGTGAAGGGTATCATTTTTCTTAGCTCCAATTCTGTATTCTCTTTGTCACTGTAGAGAAATCTGATTGATTTTTCTGTGTTGATCTTGTATCCTGCCACTTCGCTGAAATGGTCAACTATGTCCAGTAGTTTTGTTGCTTAGTCTTTAGGGTTTTCTAAGTATACTATCATTTCATGTACATAGAGAGATAATTTTACCTCTTCTTTGCCAATATGGATACCTTTTAATTCCTTCTCTTGCCTTAATTCTATCGCTATGACTTCCAATACAATACTGAATAGAAGTGATAGCGGACATCCTTGCCTAGTTCCTGTTCTCAAGGGGAATGCCTTTAATCTCTCTCCATTGAAAACAATGTTGGCTCTTGGGTTTGTGTATATACTTTTTACTCTGTGAAGAAATTCCCCTCTAATCCTATTTTATTGCTTGTTTAAATCAGGAAAGGGTGTTGGATTTTGTGAGAGGCCTTTTTTGCATCAATTAATAGGATCATGTGGTTTTTGTTCTTTGCTTTGTTAATGTGATGAATTACATGGATTGTTTTCCTTATGTTGAACCATTCTTGCATATGTGTTATGAATTCCCACTTGGTTATGGTGAATTATTTTTTAAATGTGAATTATTTTTTTTAAATTCTTTTGGCCAAGGTTTTATTCAAGATTTTTGCATCAATGTTCATGAGAGATATTGGTCTATAGTTTTCTATTTTGGTGGTGTCTTTACCAGGCTTTGATAGCAAGGATATGTTTGCTTCATAGCAAATAGTTTATGTACAATTGATGACAGATTTCTGAATGTTTGCAAAAAATTCACCATCTGGTCCAGGACTTTTTTTGGCTAGAAGTTATTTTATTACCTTTTCAATTTCTTCTTTTATAAGGGTTTGTTCAGATGTTCAATTTTGGTTGGTGTCAGTTTAGGTAGGTTGTGAATTTCTAAGTATTTTTCCATTTCCTCTAGGTTTTCATATTTGTTTTAGTATAATTTTTCATAATATTTCAGTTTCAGCCTTTTTATTTTAGTTCATTTTCTTGTGACATTGCCCATTTCATCTCTTATTTGGATTATTTGTGTCTTTTCCTTTGTTACTTTTCCAAGTGGTTTGTCGATTTTATTGATCTTTTCAAAGAACGAATTCCTAGTTTTGTTGAAGTTTTCAATTATTTTTCTGTTTTCCATTTCACTTATTTCTGCTCTAATTTTTATAATTTCAGTTTTTTTTTTGAGAGTGTCAGGTTTTCTTGTTGTTATTTTTCAATTTGTTGGAGATGTTGGGTTAGAGAGTGAATGGTCATTTTTTCCTGCCTTTTGAGAAATTTGCTTATTGCTATAAATTGACCTCTAATTACTGTTTTGGCTCTTTTCCAGAGGTTTTGGTATTTTCATTGTCATTTGTTTCAAGAAACTTTTTAATTTCATTTTTTATTTCTTTTAGTACCCACTCATGTTTAAGCAAGGTTTTGTTTTGCTTTTAAATGTATAGCTTTTTTCCTTTATCCTCTTGTTATTTATTTATAATTGTTTGGGATTTGGATGATGTGCATGCTATTTCTCTTGATGGTTTTCCACAATATTCTTAGCTTTTCTTTCCTTCTTTTTTGATTCTGCTTTTAGCTCTAGCAAATCAGTGGTGACAATTCTATTTCACTGGTTTGGTTCTCTCTTACATCTCTTCAACTCTGTTCATGTGTCCCTCCATCATGTTGACAGTATCTGAAACCTTGGACCTCATATTTTGGATCGTGGTTTCTTCTTTTTCCAGTGCCTCTAATTCCATTAGTTTTATCTGCCATGTTTTCACTTATTTTTTTAAGCTCCTCCTGATTTTTGCTTTCAGTGGCCTGTAATTCTTTGTTTTTCACCCATTGAAAATATTCAGTCATTGTTCCCTCCATCATGTTGACAGTATCTGAAACCTTGGACCTCATATTTTGGATCATGGTTTCTTCTTTTTCCAGTGCCTCTAATATCCATTAGTTTTATCTGCCATGTTTTCACTTATTTTTTTAAGCTCCTCCTGATTTTTGCTTTCAGTGGCCCGTAATTCTTGTTTTTCACCCATTGAAAATATTCAGTCATTGTTCTTTTGAATTCTGTGTCAGAAAGTTCCATCAGACTTTCTGGCTTGAGGAAATCCATTGCTACTGTGTCACTTTAGGGGGGGGGTTGATATCTTGCTTTGGGCTTGTGTGGGGAGTGAGGTAGTCTACTTCTTTCAGGACATTGCTGTGGTAGACTTTTTGAGGTGGTAGCTCCTTATGCTGTTTCCTCCACCACCACCATCTTGGTTCTCCAACTATTCTTTTGAAAGTATTGTTCTCTAACATCACAGCTCTAAGGTATCCATTCTTCTTCTGTCGTTCTTATCCACTGTTCTGCTTGCAGAAGCACAGCAAGTGATTGGGAAGACACTGGACTGAATCAGATGCATCTTGATCTTTAAACTGACATCATTGCTCTTTCAGACTTCGGAGAGATCCCTGCCAGCAGAATTTCCCAGTGCTGGATATCTCCTGATATAGACCGTATTATGAACATGATGAATTTTTGTGCTCACTTTAAGGTTGACATTTACTTAGATATGAGGATTGTTATCAAATGTTCAGAGTTGGAAGAACCTCAGCATCCAGACATTCTTGCTTCTTGAATTTTGTGTGTGTGTGTTTGTCTCATCAGATGACCTTTCAGTCTTGTTAACACTTTCAGATAAATACAGCAAGATTCTCCCTGTTTCACTTACAGACAGTGGACCTGCAGAAAATGTCTTCTGATAACCAGTTGATACTTGCATTTTGTTGTGCTAGATTATGCTTTGAAGATGTCGGAGGAAACAGTTTGTGATCCAAATTAAGATAGCCTTTCAGACATTTGCTTCTACCTGCAGTCTGTTGGGTACATGCTGGTGGTTGAAGTATAGTGAAACTTAGGAGAGCTGAAACTTTGTGGTGTGCCGTGTTTTACTAGATCTCCTAAATTTTCTGTCTTTACAGAAAGCAGCCTTGATTCTTTTTAATCCCTTATAGTAGGAGAAAATGTTTGCCTTTTCTATCTCTGACAGATTCCAGCTTTTGCAGGTTTTACTGTATATGACGAAAACCTGTATACACACAGAGATCTAAGAACAAGATGGGAGAATTTTATTCAGTGACTTTTTCAGATAATTGAAGATATTATCTTTTGTTACTATCAACACCAAAGTTCACAAGGTTCTTAGAGGTTAGTTGCAGTGTGGAATCTGAAGTCAGTCATTTTGCTATTGTGCTTTACTTGATTAAATTCCATTTGATTTGCCTTGCACTTTGAAATGTTCTTTTACCAGTGCAAAATTTTGTAACATCACTTACTTGAAATGTGTGAATTTTCCAAATACTGACACATTTCATTTTACCATATCATAAAGTCACTTTTGTTAATCTCACTGCTGATTTTATCAGAAGACTTTTAAATGTTATTAAACTCTTGATGACAGATAAAGACTGCTGAAAAATCAAACTTTCACTGAAAAGTCTGAACTTTGTCATTAGCCTCAAATGCTGTCAGTTGTTTCTCTTAAAATGCTTATTAGGAAAAAAATCAGACAAAACCCACAACAGAAAGGCAAGATACCTAGGGTTCTGAAACTGTGTCGTTCACTGCCTTCAAGTTGTGCACAACGTAGTGGCCCTGTGAACAACAGATGTGAACCTTGTCTTTCCTATGCCATCCTCATGCTCTCCAGCAGGCTCAGGCCCTGCACACGCAGCCACTGTGTCAGCCCGTCTCACTAAGCATCTTCTCTTCCTCCTCTGACCCTTTACTTTTCCCAGTATGATGTCTTTTTCCAAGGACTGGTTCCATCTGACAACATGCCAAAGGATGTGTGATGACTTTTCACTAGTGTTGCCTCTGAGGTGTGCCCTGCCTGTGCTTCCTCCAACACACTTTCTTGTTCTTGTGATAGCACAAATCATAGTTCTATTTATTGTTTTTTCAAGTAAAAATGTTTTTCTATGAAAAAAGTGGCTTTTTCTTAAGGTGCTATCTGACTTCAGTGTTGTTAGGTGCCATTGCATCGCCTGTAACTCATTGCGACTCCTTATGTCCAACAGCTCTGAACCCTGCCCTGTCCTCAGCCAGTCTTAATGACCCCAACACACATACCCTCATTGCCCCAGTCACAATATCAGTCCATCTCATCTGATGTCTTCCTCTCCTGCACTGTTCCACCACCCTTCCAAGCGTGATGTTCTTCTCCAAGGACCAATCCCTCCTGGGCACATGCCCAAAATATGTGAGACAGACTCAAAATCCTAGCCTGCAAGGAGAAACGTGGTTTCCCCCTCTCCAAGACAGAATTATTTGTTTTCTTGGTGGTCCATGGTATTTTCAAGACTCTTCTCTAGCACCACAACTCGAAGGTATCAATTCTTCTGTCATCCCTAGTCATTGTCCAGCTCTGTGATATATAGCATAGCAAGTAACTGTGAAGACCATGGCATGGACCAGGTGCACCTTAGTCTCTAGACTGGCATTGTTTCTCAGTACTCTGGAGAGGTCCCTGACAGCAGACTTTCCCAGTACAATTCATCTTTTGATTTCCTAACTGCTGGTGTCAAGAGTGTTGATTGTGGAGCCAAGCAAGCTATAATTGTTAACAACCTCAATCTCTTCTCCATCTATTATGGTGTTGCTACTTGGCCCAGTAGTGAGAATCTTTGTCTTCTTGATGTTGAGCTTCAATCTAAATTGAAAACTTCAGTCCTTGACCTTCTGCAACAAGCATTTCAGGTCCTCCTCAATTTCAGCAAGCAAGATTGTTCCATCTGGATAATAGGTTGTTGATGAGTCTTCCTCCAGTTCTGATGCCACATGTAGCAGAAGTGCTTTAAGCATATTTCTCATTTTGTTGCAAAAATACTTGGAAAAATGTGTACTTGACTATCCAGATGTACTAATACTAAAACACTTTATGTTTTATTAATGAAATTGACTTTCTCTGTCTCTAATCTTTTTTTTTGCCAACTGAAAATTCATAGTAGGATAAGAATCCATTTATTGCCGTTGGAGTTTGATACTCTTACCTTGCCTGATTCATGTTAAAGTATCAGAAGTTTTTATCCTGTGTTTCTTTTTTTACTGACCGTACATACAAATAATATCAATATTGTTATAGAAATAGTTTTGGCCTCCCGGAGCCCACAGAAGTTCTTGAACTCTGGAATGGTTGCTTAAGGGGAAGAAGGTAGGGTTCCTTGAACTAAAGAAATGTTCCCTTATTTCAGTCATCTGGGGCAAGATGAAATCCTGAGAGCAGGGAACAGGAAAGTGGATAGTGATAGTACATGTGTGTCTCTGTACCAAGCAGGGCAGCTGCCAAGGATTTTTGAACGGTTTGTACTTACAGTAATACTAAGAATTTTTTTAAGACGTGCACTGAAATCTGTGAGAGCCAGAACACTGGCTATTTTTTTTTCCTCTGTTTTATTGTTTGCTTGGTTGGTTTGTTTTTGGGATTTTTTTTTTTTTTTAGTTTTCTGCCTTTCACAGGTTATAGTCTTACTAATTTTTTTTTACCTCTCCTTTTGATGGAAAATATTGGCATTTTTCTCCTCTGAAGAGTTTCTGCCTTACACAGGTCCTGGTATCTTCAGGTTTTACTGTATTAAAGGAGAAAGGGGCTCCTTGGGGCCCACACCAGTAAATCATACCAGAGGGAAATGAAATATTCAGGCCAAAATCTGAGCTCTGGGGTCTGGTGGTTCCTAGTTTCTATAATTATCCTCTTAGGATCTGGTTTCATTTCTCTGGTTTTCATTTATTTTCAATTATCAGATGGTAATTGCTATTATTGGCATCTCATGTCTGAAAAAAATCTAGCAGTTTGTATATCAAAATGTCAGTAGAGATTTCTGCTTTACAGGGTTCTGTGGTATTTTTACTTATTTGTAATGCTTGAAAAGATTTTAATTTTTTTATATTGAACAAGTATACTTTACTTGGAAAATAGGGTTCTTTTTCTTAGCAATGAGAACTTGTGAGGATCTCCACATGGAGTCTTTCTGATTCCCGTCTTACTGTCTTTGCTGCAGAGAGTCGGCCACGGAGATAAAAACCATGCAGATGCAGACAGATCACCTGTTTTTCTTCAGTTTATTGACTGCGTTTGGCAGATGACACGACAGGTAACTTAATTGGACTATTCATTTTTAATACCTTTGTCAGACTTTCCCATCTGAGTTAGGATACTTGATTAAGTTTCCCATCAAATGCAAATTTTTGTCAAATTTTGTGGTGATAGGGATATTATTATTGTCCAACTGTGAATTAATTTGGTGTTCTTATATGTGATATTGTTAATTTTGACTCACGATGATCCTCTGCTCCATACATTGTAATCAGGTTGGAACTAACTCAGAGTTCACCCTGCCCTGGTTTCTGAGGCTGTAAACTGCAGTGGAAGAGATTGCTCCTCTCTCTTCTCTGGAGCGCCTGGTGAAAGGCAGCAGAGGTCAGCCTTAGCGTTAGCAGTGAAGCTGCCTGTGGGCCACAATTCCTGAGGGGTCCTGTAGGACAGGGAGCAAATTGCCAGGGCTTTTTCTTCCGTGGAGCACCTAGTGAGTTCTCACCACGGAAAATACTCTGTTAGCAGCCAGGTGCTTTGTCATAGCACTGCCAGGCTCCGTTGAATTTTAAATTACATGAGAGGTGTTATTAAGCCCTTAAAGAGCCGTGGTGTCTTGGTTGACAGTTTGAATTGTCTGCTGCTTTGTGGGCGGAAAGATGAGTGGTCTCCTTCTGTAAAGATTTGCAGCCTTCGAAACCGGGTAGAATCTCAGTGGATAGAAATCAACTCAGTGGTCGTGGAATTTAAACCCTTGACAGGCTGATTGGTTTATGAGCATTTCTGTGTGAGTTGCATGGGTACCGTTCCCCGAAAGATTTTTTGCTGTTTTGAACAATTAGTATTCAATAATAACAACAATTAAAAACTCATTCAGATATTGCTAAAGGAGGCAAAGAAATTAATCTTGGTAAGTCCAGCAAAACTAAAACCGACTTTAGGTTGTTGTTTTTCAGTAACTGTAATTATTTTGGGAAATAAGTATTTTTAGTTCAGAATTATGGCATGGTAAATATGTAGTAGATTTCTTGTTTGTTAATATTAGCTAGAGAAAAAGAACCAGTAATATAGATTGAAAGTTGTTGTTGTTGTTGTTATGTGCCATCAAGTCGCTTGCAACTCATAGGGACCCTATGCTCAACAGCCCTAAACGCCGTTCTATCCTGTGCCAACTATCCATCTCAAATGCACTCATTCCCACCACTCTACTCACAGAATCGATCCATCTCATTGAGGGTCTTCCTCTCCTGCGCCGTCCCTCCACTCTCCCAAATATGATGTCCCATTCCAAGGACCAGTCCCTCCTTGCAACATGCCCAAAGTATGTCAGACGAAGCTTCAGAATCCTTGACTCCAAGGAGCATTCCGGCTTCACCCTCTCCAGGACAAACCTATTTGTTCTCCAAGCAGTCCATGGTATATTCAACACTCTTCTTCAGCACCACAGCTTAAAGGCATCAATTCTCCCTATTCACTGTTCAACTCTCTGATGCACAGCACATAATTGGGAAGACTATAGCCCAGATCAGGCGCAACTTATCCTCCAGCCTGATGTCGTTGCTCTTTGGTACTCTTGAGAGGTCCCTCACATCTGACTTTCCCAATGCAGTTTGTCTCTTGGTTTCCTGGCTGCTGTTACCAAGAGTGTTGACTGTGGAGCCAAGTAAATTAAGACTGTTAACTATCTCAATCTCTTCACCATCCATACTGATGCTGACAATTGGCCCAGTGGTGAGAATCTTTGTTTTCTTGATGTTGAGCTTCAATCCATATAGGAGGCTGCAGTCCTTGACCTTCTGCAGCAAGCGCTTCAGGTCTTCCTCAGTTTCAGCAAACAGGGTTGCATCATCCACATAATGCAGGTTGTTGATGACTCTTCCACCAATTCTGATGCCACATTCCTCCTCATACAGCCCAGTGTCTCAGATGATCTGTTCTGCATACAGATTGAAAAGGTATGGAGACAAAATACATCCCTGATGGACCCGTTTCTTGATTTTGAACCATGTAATGTCTCCTTGATCTGTTCCGACGACTGCGTGCTGTCGAGTCGCTTGCGACTCATAGCAACCCTGTGTACAACAGCCCTAAACTCTGCTCTGTCCAGTGCCAATCACCCTGTCTCTGACACTCCCATCCCGGTTATCCCAGTCACTGAATCAGTCCACCTCATAGAGGGCCTTCCCCTCCTGCGCTGTCCCTCCACCCTCCCAAGCATGATGTCCTTCTCCAAGGACCGGTCTCTCCTCACAACATGTCCAAAGTATGTTAGACGGAGCCTCAGAATCCTTGCCTCCAAGGAGCCACCCGGCTTAACCCTTTCCAGGTTACACATTAGCACAATCAAATGTTCTGGGATTCCCATTCTTCTCAGACTCAGCCATAGCTTGTTATGATCCACACAGTCAAAAGCCTTTGCATAGTCAATGAAGCAGACATTCTTCTGGTATTCTTTGCTTTCTGCCAAGATCCATCTAACATTAGCTATATCCCTAGTACCACGACCTCTTCTAAATCCAGCCTGCACATCTGGCAGTTCTCTGTTGACATAATATTCCAAACATTTTTGGATAATTTTCAGCAGAATCTTGCTTGCATGTCATATTAATAATGATAATGATAATTTCTGCACTCTGTTGGGTCACCTTTCTTTGGATGGGAACAAATACCTATCTTTTCCAGATTTCTTGGCACAACTTAGTGAACACATTCAGGGCAGCATCTGTTGAAATATGTCAACTGGTATGCCGTGAACTCCTGGATGGAGTCTTGTTTTTTACCAATTCCTTCATAGCAACTTGAACTTCCTCCTTCATCAGTATAGGCTCTTGCTCATATGTTATTTCATGAAATTCCTGTCTCAGCCAATTCCTTCTGATACGGTGACTCTGTGTACTCCTTCCATCTTCTCTTGATACTTCCTGGATCATTTAACATTCTACCCAAAATATCCTTAAGTCTTGCCACCTGTGGCTTGAATTTGTTTTTCAACTCCTTCAGCTTAAGAAATGCTGAACGAGTTTGGCCCTTTTGATTTTCTGACTCCAGCTCAGTGCACATTTCATTATAGTATCTTGCAAAACTCTTTGCTATTGAGTCAAAACTCACAGCCAAGCCTTCATCAGGTTTTCAGGAGCTATAAATCACACAAATGGCAATTAAGCATCTTCTTCCATAGAGCCATTAATGGATTCAGACTCCTAGATAGGCTTGGCCTGTAGTCTCGTAGTACAATCCACTTTAGGCCACCAGAGCCTCCTAGATGGATCGATTAATAGTTATAGATACATGAATGAGAAAGATTGTGTGCATTGTCCAGTTCAGTATATCTAGTTCAGGTTACAGGCTGGAGATTGGCAGATGTGTCTGCTGAGACTGAGATGGTCGTGCTGTGAGGAAGTAAGGGAGATTCTGGCAGGATGCCTATTTATAATTTAGAGGCAGACTTTTCTGGGGGAATCTCTGTTTTCACTCTTAAGATTTTCAGCTGATTGGATGAGGTCCACTCACATTACACAGGGTCATCTGCTTTGCTTAAGGATGACTGGTTTAATGACATGTACCCATTTTTCTAACAGCCTCTAGACTAATATTTGACCTAGCAGCTGGGCACCATAGCCTAGCCACACTAGCACATAAACATCACAGGGTGACCATAGCAGTAATACCTTGTAGACATTCAGAGTCTGTGAGGCCCCAAACCATTAATGTGTGAGGCTGCTAACAGAAAGGTAGAGGTGCAGTTTCACCCATCAGCACCGTGGAAGAAAGACCTAATAGTCTACTCCCAAAATGTCAGGTGTTGGAAACTGTATGAAGCACAGTTTTATTCTCCCGCACATGGTCACAAGTCCACATCCACTTGGACTTTCTGAGACACTGATTATATTAAGTATAAATTATGGCATGTGTGTACATTGGTTTTTGGACAGATAACAGGAGATGGAAAATACCTGGTCAGTTATGGGATCATGCTACTAGCAGTGAGGTTGCTATTCTAAATACAAGACTTTACTCCAGAATAGTCACCTTAGAAGCCAAAGTTTGCACGCAACTCATAGATACATAAGTTAATGATATAGTCAGATTTTATTAGGCTTCATACAATTGGGAGTCTAATACTGTCACATGAATATTAAGTTTTGCTGACTGAGATGTGTGGTGGATGAGACTAAAGTATGATGAAATTGGTAATAGTTTAACAAATATGCTAGAAATGCTCAGCAAAGTAGGCCCTGTGTATGGGGAGGCAGGGGTTGGAGTGATTTGATGGTCTTCAGACTTCTTGGAGTAGGTTTGAATTCTTCCTAGGTTAGAATTTACCTTTTAGTCATTGTGTCAGCTACACAGGTTACTACTTATTCTTTTTGGTGGGTTATTTGACCCAAAACAATAAGACCTTCTTTTAACAATTAACCCCATTTGGTTTAATAGTGACAAAATGCAGCCTGCCAGTCCAGTGGTTTGAACCCACCAGTGGAGTAGATCCCATCTGGTCATCTGTCCCATTAGAGAGAAACCCCGAGGGCACCACGTCTCTGTCACGTGGGCCCTAACACAGTTAACTCAGTGGCACATGACAACAGCAATATTTGACATTAGTGATTATTTCATGCAAATTTTGGCTTACTTAAATTACTCATAGAGAATAATTTTAAATGTATTTCTTTGGTAGAACTAAAGACAGATGATAGTTGATAGTCTTTTAAAAGACATCTCTGAAAACTCAAGTTGCTATTGAGTCAGAACTGACGTCTGCCAAGTTTCCAAGGCTATAAATCGCCCAGGAGAATGTCCATCCTTCTCCCAGAGCCACTAGTGATCCAAATTACCAGAGCTGCAGACTCTGAGTTAGCACTGCAACTCCCTATGGACATTGAGTTAGGGTTTTTAGGTATTTGCTGAAAACAGAACATTCATAATTTCTGTTGACAGTGATCAGTTTTTCAAGTAATTGGATCTAAGCACAGAGACATATATACATATATAACATTTGTCAAACATTAACTCATATTGTCCCTGTTTTGCTCCATCCCCTCACCTTGGGGATCAGGAAGTGTTTGATGAAAAGCCCTTCTGAGTTTACACATACAAGGAGAAAAAAAAATTTTCCTCTCCAAAAAATCTTCCTCTCCTGTTTTTTAAAAAACAAAAGCAATAGCAGCAGCTAATGCTTTGCTATTTTAGTTTCATTTTTGAGGAAACTGACTAATTAAGCTGTCTTCTTATAACTAAGCTAATAGTTTTGCCAAGAAGAAAGATGAAAAGCTAATCACAGGCTTAGATCTCTCATGTTGCTACTTTCAAAAGAATTAAGATGTGATCATATTTGGCTTACAATACCAAATGTTTGCAACAAACACAGGAGATTAAAGTTTTCAATATTTCAAAAAGGTTTTATAATGAGTTGGCTTTTTGTTGGCATGTGTTTTCCACATTTGCTTCACTTAGCATTACATACACAAAAATTACTATTCATGGTAGAATTGTTCTTTTTTTATAGTTGAGAAATTTGCTAGTTTCCTAAATTTAGGGAAACTGAAGAAAAGTTGTTTTTCTGTCCCTTTTGCATATAGTGCCTGCTGCTTCCTGCCACTGTAGGATAGGGACCTACGAAATAAAACATGGAAAGTAGTTTTTATTCCCCAATCTGCAGTCCCATCATTAGTGGGAGTCCATTTCATAACCTAATTACTACAATCTTCTGTGCTGTTGTGTGCCTTCAACAGAACCGATCCATAGCTGACCCTCCAGTGGGTTTTCAGAGGCAGTAAATTGAATCACATGGAAGGAGATTGCTTGCTTTCCCCCCATGGAGCAGCTGGATTCAAACTGCTGTGTTTGGGTTGACATTACAGCCCCTTACCAATAAGCCACTAAAGCGTATCATAACAAATGATTAAAACTTATCCATGCATGATTAAAAAGGATTTAGAAATATTAGGTGGTGCCTGGGTTAACTAAGGCACTAGTAAGATGCCACACTTTCATACCTTTATTCTCTTACTATTTAGGGTGCTGGATCTAAGGGAAGGCCCCCATCCATTCTAGAGGAAAGTCCTTGTGTTGCTACACATCTCTAGGCCAGACTTTCCTTTTATCTGTACGCCTGACATTGAGGAGCCTCCCAGCACTGGGGCCGGCACACCTGGTGGTTGTTCCATGGTGGTTCTGAGGCCCCCATCTCTGCTTTATTTTCCTCTTCTTTACCTCTTAAGATAGAAAGGGGTTAGAGCCACACCCCATGGAAACTCCCTTTCACCTGCAGAGTGATGGGATTCTGAGGGGTTGCATTCCACTTTTAATCTCTTAAAATTATTTGAGTTTTTCAGTCACTGGAAATCATCACATAGCTTCTACGTTAGATTATTACATAGGTGTATTTTTAGGGGATATAACAGGTAAGATTAAACAAAACCATTTACCTTTCTGAAGTCTGTAATTCTTTTAGTCCCCCCCAATTGTATAAAATAAAATTAAGCTATCAGCTAAACCCTTGTCTTGGATTAGATCAGTTTCCTTTTGGCTAGAAAATTGCTGCCAGTGAACTGAGTTTTCATGGCCTACAGGGTGACTTGCTTTTGCCTCAAAGGCCAGTTGGTTCTATTTGTACATCTTCCTTGGTTATTTTTTCTGGAGATATTAGTGACGTGTACACACACTGTGTGTGTTTCCTGAAAATGCGAAGGAAGATCTTTGTTGCTTAGAATCAGTTTTGGCAGCAGATAACTTGTAGCCAGAATACAAGTTTAAGGTTAACACATAGTTTGGGATAGAAATATGGTCAGATTGCATTTGGAGATAAAGAATTTCAGAAATGGGTAATTTTTAACAGAAATATCAAACAAATAATGTACTTATGTCTTAGAAATACGTGTTTGTGTCTGTCTTCTTAATTTATATATGAAATATATAAAAAAAAATCTTTGTATATTAAATCTCTTATTACAAAGAATCTGCCCATATATAGGAATGAAAATACTTCAAAAAGAAATCTTCATTTTATCTGTGGTATTCAATTTCCAGTTTCCTACAGCATTTGAATTCAATGAGTATTTTCTCATTACAATTCTGGACCACCTCTACAGTTGTTTGTTTGGAACATTCCTGTGTAACAGTGAACAGCAGAGAGGAAAAGAGGTAGGAGATGAACCGTGACCTCCATCTCCCCTGCCATCCCTATTATTGAGAATCCTGTTAGGAACATTTGTGTACAAGTGTTTGTGGGGATGCACTGAGTTTTTCTTAGATACCTCACAGTGGAATTTTTGAGTCCTGTGGTAACTATGCTGACAAATTTTTGAAGAATTGAATACTGATTATAAAACATGCATAGATGTTTTATAGCATCTTCTGATTTTAATTAAGTGGGGCTATCATTGAAATGACCAACCTCCTTCCCTCTAGAGTTTTTAATGACCATAATACCTCACATACAGTATTAAATTTCTAAAGTATAAATAGCTTGCTTGGTAGAAAATCTTCACCTATTTTCTTCTTCTTACAGAATCTTCTCAAAAGGACTGTGTCATTGTGGTCTTACATAAATAGCCAGCATGAAGATTTCACTAATCCTCTCTATGGGAGTTACTCCAATCATGTTCTGTACCCAGTAGCCAGCATGCGCCACCTAGAGCTGTGGGTGGGATATTACATCAGGTGGAATCCCAGGATGAAGCCACAGGTATTTTCTGTAATAAACAGTTTTTGATCCATGCAATGTTATCAAGTCTCTCCTGTAAAGCACCTGGAGAATTTCTCTGTGCATTTCCAAACTTGTTTTTAATTTTATGGCAGAAAAATTACTACAGATTTGTCAAATTCTTTCTCCTGCTGGAAGATGTTTTTATAAGCACAGTATTACGTTTTAGTTTTTTAAAATAGCAACATGTAAAAAAAATAAATTGGCAGAACACTTAGAAAAATATCTTCTAGTGGAAGGGGAGGGGGTGGCTGGCAAATGAAGGTGATAAATATTAACAGAGTTAAAATAGTTTAGTTTTTATCCTGACTTTGCTTGTATAACCAAAGATATTTACCTTGTAAGATTGGGAGGAATAGATTTAGAAGAGCTTTTTAACTTAACAATTGCAGACAACTTTAAAATATATTATGGTATATTAACTAAGAATATCTTTTATGCTAAGTGAACTAACTCAGTCTCATAAAGGCAAATACTGTACAAGACCATTATTGTAGAATGAGTATGAGGATCTAAGGAGGGGTTCTTAATTATAGAGTCACACAATTTGATAGGTGGAGGGAGAGGTGGGTAAAGGAAAGATCCAGTGTGAAAAACAATGTATGTGAATTTTATAAGTAATCCAGTATTAAAAACAGATTATCTTTTAAAGGCAAACTACAACTAAATGATAGGAAATCTGTTGAGTTTTGGCTTTTAAGCCTTCTGGATCATCTGCATGGTGGGTACCCTGGAAATATCCAGAGGTATTGGGAAAGTCAGTCAATCCTCAGTAGTTGCAATAAAGCATCAAAGTCACTGAAATGAATTTCCATTGATGTGGGAGATTAGTCTCCATAGTTGAAAAAAACCCACCACAGCAGTTAGAGAAAGAACCAGTCTTCCTGAACTTTTGAGTTTGTTTAGGATTGCCTTGTTTAATGATTTCATGGGGTTTTTCTCCTGTAGGAGCCCATTCACAACAGATATAAAGAACTTCTTGCTAAACGAGCAGAGCTTCAGAAAAAAGTAGAGGAACTACAGAGAGAGATTTCCAACCGATCCACCTCATCCTCCGAGCGAGCCAGTTCTCCTGCTCAGTGTGTCACTCCTGTCCAAACTGTTGTGTGAGCCGCACGTGATGGCATCACCACCACCAGACTCTTGACTACAGTGGCAGCTTTATGAGTAGGAAGTCTTCTGATTTTGGAGCCAATCTGTGAGAGAAAGTTCAGTCACTTTATTTATTTAAATTTCTCTAGGATGAGTTTACAGTTGTAGCAGTGCAGGCGGCTCCAGTGAAATAACCCCATGTCTCACTACACCATTGTAACACTAACCCTGTAGGGATTAGAACATAAAAATGGATCTGCAGTGGAAACTATTCTGATTATGAGGGGAAAGTGCTGTCTTAAATAGTCCTTCTTATATAAACCATTTCAGAAACACACCTCTTGATGGGACAGAGTTCACTGCACAGCGGAGGGAGTTGTATGGGGTGCGCAGACCAAGCCAGCACCGAGACCCCCTAGCATCATACCTGTTAGACCTAAGTCAACATGGATCAAACCCCTCATCACCACCTTCTCCGTCCTAGATTTTTCTTTTTTGTAGTAACTGACTTTTGATCATCTTTCAACACTCCTTTTTCACCATGAGTCAGCAAAGTCTTGAGGATATTATGGTGAAGTAGTAGTAGTCAACAATTACTGATGCCATTTAAATACTTATTTAAGATTTACTAGATAGCTATTCCAAAACGATGCCTTAGCGAAGTGCTTGGGAGTAGATGGGAGAGAGAAGCTGTCCAACTCAAAGAATTCCATGACCTTCAAATTCACTTCCATTTGCTAAGTTGCCAGAAACATCAAAATTAAAAACTCATTGTCAACCCCACTTCAATTTTCTAAAGATTCCACACACAGAAGATTGGTAAATTTTCAGGCAATTATTTAAAAATGGTACTGACTCTAAATGGCTTATGGTGGGACAGAGTACTGTGCTAAAATTTTACATGAAACGTTTTACTACCTTTTGCTGCAAATTCTATAATTCCACTCAAGTGTACCAAAGAATACAGTGCATGTAAACATGTATTGCAGTCTCAGTGCCAGTAAGGGAAAGCTTGTGCTTCACTGTTCACTTGCTACCGTTAATAGTGCCATTATAAACAGGAATCCCGTGTCTGTTTCACCCTAAAAGAGCCATATATGTAAAGTACTGTAACAAAGGAGCTTCTCGTCCCACAGTTCTTCAATTAAAAGAAAATTTCAACTGACTTTTAAACTTTGTCTTAAGTTTTTTTTGCCTTAAGTTTGTTTTGGTGACTGAAATGGGTATCTGGAAATTTTCTGAAATGTAAAAGAGGCTCTCTAGCATCCCACCCCAAAAGGAAATGCTTAGTTTGAATCCATTTTTTCCTTATACTGATACCAAATATAATTCATAACAGTGTTTTCATTTGTTATTTTACAACAATCTCAATCTGCTCCTACTCTTAGTCTTGCAAGGAGGCAAGTAATTATATTGTTAGCAATTAGCAAAATCAGTAACAAAATTAGGTTCTTGTGTGAAATGTAAGATGATTTGTAACAGGGCACTTAAGTGGCCAGTCTGTTTTCCATTATACTGAATTTTCACAAATTCATTTCCTCCTTTCCATTCTACCAGTCCTTATTTAAACCCTTATCTTTGCCTAATACTGAGAAAGCAGATCATCACACAAAGAATTCCCTCCTTACAAATCTGTCACTACTTTGTTTAAATGGCTCCCTGTTCACCTGTAGAACTCTCAAACGTGGCTTGCATGCACTTGAGTATTTAAGACAATCTCTTGGTACTTACGTGTGGGATGGGATATTAGCACTTTTTTACCTAGCTACACAAATAAAGCTTTAATATTTGCACTGATCCTGTGTTTTATTATATAACCTGTTAGTGGCTGTGACTGCTGGTGGTCACCTGTGTTTTACAGTACATCTGCTCCAGAGTTCTGAGGGGTTAATTTTTTTGGGGGAAAAAAGTCTAGTCCTTCCAAGATGCCTCTGTGTAGCCTTGAACCTTTAAGTTACAAACCACATGTACTACTAATAGTCTAGTTTTGTGTTTAGATCTACACCCTACCAATACACAGACATAAATTATAAATTATCAATGGATAGTGTTTGTACAAGTATACTCTTCCCCTTTATCATCAGAGACAAAAAGTTGAAATCCTGTATGATCCATTTCTAGCACCTCTGCCTTCTGTGACCTGCTCTCTGCTTACCCAGCATGCTCACCTGTGGACTTCCACATTGATGTGCCAGTACTACTTACCACAATTTTTAAGTGTAAACTGCAGATTCTTCTGTTTGAATGAATTCTGTCCAAACACTGTCCTCCCAGGTGGCTAACTTGTTCTCTAGACTTTAGGCACTTCCAGGGAGTTACCCGATTCGATTCTGCACCATCTTCTGTTGTACACACATCCACACGCACTCCCCCTTATCTCACAGCATACTGCATGCATTATAGCACCACTGCATGTGTCTTGCAGAGATGCATTCCATTTTACTAAGGTTGGCAGCCACACTGGCAAGTGAATTTGTAAATTCACAATTTGTAAATTTGTATATTCACAAATTTGGCTATTCACTAAAAATACTCGAGGCTTTCACAGACACTTGCAAACATGTAGAAGTGAAAAATTCCTAGCTTAAATTGAACAAGGCTGTTTGCATAGCAATCATGTTTGAAATGCATTATAATAAAACTACTGCAAAAGAAGTGGATGGGTGACACCTGCTGTAAGCTTAAATTTGGCTAGTATTTTTCTTCAGTTCCTGCCTGAGGGTATGAGAGGCTGGAATGGATAGTTAGCCATGAACCCAGTTGAGGGCTGGATCTTATCTGTTGGGCTACTTTTCTAATTAAGAATTATATCTGTTATAATTCAAGTACTGTTAACATCATTTAATGACCTGAAATTCAAGCGAAGGGGTAACAAACACTACATGCAAGCAAGGGTTCACATAGAATTTTAGGAGAATCACAAATATCCCCAAGAGGAGGCCTGTATGTCTCGTGCTCAAGCAGCCACTGTACTTGACACTGGCTGTCAAGAGAGAATCCTTTGGCTATGCTCTATGTTAGCCAATTTCAGGGGAAGCACAGGAAGGAATTCCTTTAAAAGCATGAGTGTGTTCACTAAGTATCTTATATTCTATATTACAAACATCCTGGGTTTCTAAGCAAGCACAAAAATGGGAAGTTATTAATATAATGTTAAAATCCTATATTAAAATGCATTTTTTTGAGATTACAACATATTATGCCTTTGTAAACAGGCTGGTAAGGAAAGTTTCCATTGTTTCCTTAAAAGAAGCTGCTTTATTGATTGACTTCAGTGGTGAATTTATAAATATTAACATGTCTTGATCTATTAAAAATTATAACTTACATCATGAACAATACAATGCACAGGCACAAGAAACAATGCACTCTTATTGTACACTAATAAAAACACATGTCCAAAGAGTCCCTTAAGTTTCAAGATTAAAAACCATAATGCCTTGATTGAACAGCATGATTACAAAGTTAATATTTAAAAACAGCAAATATATACACTTTACAGTGTTGTCTTCTCATTCTCACTTTATTCCAAAATTTCATTAATTTATACTTTAAAAAAATAATTGTGTAGTTTTTACAAGTAGTTGGGTTAAAATGAATGCTTAGGTCATTTTCCTTCCCCACCGTCTTTCATTTTCCTTAGTGGACTTGAAAGTAAAATCAATACAAGCTTATTTAATATCGATCGTTGTTTGCCACATTGCAAACCAAACAGGGAAGATAAGGGTTCCGAAGATTTAAATGAGTTACTTTAGACTCTGAGAGACTATGGAGGAGTGTAAGCAATCCTTTGAAAATGTGCCAGACATATTTAAATACAGAAGACCTATACCAGCAGTCCAAACATTTATTTAATTGCTGCTTGCACTGGACATTTAAGTGTATGCCAGGGGACAATTTGAAAGACTGACTTTGTAAGCAATCGTGCCTATAGGTTATCCTCTTATTTTGATAATGTATACCTAACTGTATGTAGATCTATAAAGAATTACTGCTTTTTTTAAAAAAAAATATTCACACCTACAAGTAAAAAAACCTGGTAATCTGTTTACAAAGTGCAATTCATCAATACAACAAACCCATCTCAAACAAAGCAGCAAAAACCTGTGGCTTATTGGCCTTAATCCTGTGGTTTCATTTAAATAGTTTAACATTCAGCTGTGCCATATATAGCACAAGTGTGTGTAACAAAGCTTGTGGCCCATAACACCAGCTACCAATGAATTCTGACAGAAGAGTAGAAAACCTGGAATGTAAAATGGCAACATCTGATTGATGAAGTATAGATCAGCTGAATAAATTTTATGACCCGGTACCAGTCAGTAATCCCATGACAAACTACTGCTTTGTAACGAACTCTGTATGGTCTGCATGTCCTTCAATAACTGGAGATTTTTTCTGCTTTTCTCTCCAGGTCTCGGTTTGGTAAAGTCCTTCTTATTTGCAGTCCCTGAAGAGCGACTGCTATTAGTTCTGTCTTCAGCAAGAGGTTTTTTGGTAGTTCTTATTTCTTTCCTCTGCTTCTCTATCTTCTGTTTCTCCAGCTGCACCAAACAATATAGGCGAAGTAAAAGGAAAGGAGAACAGTGAAAACATTCTGATGGAGAAGCAGCCCCAACACACAAAACCAAAAGTACATTCTAACATAAGGTTTATAAAGCTTAAAATCCCCAAAACTAGTCATTTAAGCCAACTCTACATTTCTGGAGGACAATCGGATGTAAAAGATGCCATAAGAGATTTAAAAAAAACACCAAACCACCCACACAAACCAGCCTTAAAGTGCTTAACGTAAGTAAATGTCTGGTGTGATGTCAGAAGAGAGTGTTGTTGAGGAACGGATTAGGACTAGAGAGAGAAGCAAGGGTGGTTGGGGGAAGCCTCATGAAAGAGGGGGGAAATACAGAGAATTAAAGGATAGGAAGGCTTTGGCAGAAAGGAGTAGGAGAAAGACATTCCAGAAGTTAACTTTAGCAAGTAAAGAGCATGTTCCAGATTAATGAATGATGCAATGGTAATGTAATACTATGAAAAGAATTTTAAATTTTATTGTTACTCCACTATTTTAGAATTAAGAGCTTTATTTCGACTTTAACTGGAGTGGCGTGAGCATGCTGCTCCATTTGTCACCAGCTGCCATAGTGCAGATTCTAACTTGTCCTACATGTAGGAGTAGAACTGGTCCTTACAATTTTCAAGGCTTGACTGTTTAGAAACAGATGATCACCATAGCTACACACTGAGTCGTGAACCGCCTACCCTTTTGGCTAGTAGTTGTGCACTTAATTGCTTTTATCCCTTAGGTGTTCTATCACCCCCACAAAAGAGCCCAACCTAACTATGTAGATACCAACTCTTGGCCGCCCTCCACTGTTTCCAAGGCTGTACAGCAAACGGTAAGAGACTCTTCATTGCTGGGTTTGAATCACTGACTTTTCTGTTGGCAGTCCAGTACTTAACTGGCTATGTATACCACCAGTGCCTCAAACTTGTTCTTGAAATGACTCTTAAATTCATCTAGACAGATTCAAGGTCATGCTCAGCAAATAATTTGTGAAGCTGAACTCTTAAGAAGACTGTGGCATCAGGATGAAGGCAGACATCAATAACCTGCATTACGCAGATGAAAGAACCTTGCTTGCTTAAAGTGAGGAAGGTATGAAATTGTTGCTGCAGAAGATCAAGACCTACAGCCTTTGGTATGGATTACATCTCAATACCAGCAAAACAAAGGTCCTACCACAGATCAACAGTCAACATTATGGTAGATGGAGAAAGGATTGAAGCTGTCAATAGTTTCATCTTCCTTGGCTCAATAAAAACTCTGTACCAGCAGTCAGGAAATCAGGAGATGTATTGCACCAGGCAAGTCCTCTGTCAGGGATCTCTACAAAATGCTGAAGAGCAATGATGTCAGTTTGTAAACTAAGGTGGCACTTGATTCAGGCCAAGGACTTCTCAATCTAATGCTATGCACCGGACAACTGGACAATGAATAAGGATGAGAGAAGAATTACTGATGCCTTTGAATTGTGGTGTTGGAGTACTGAATATCCCACGGACTGCTAAAAAACAAACAGGTATGTCTTGAAAAAGGTGCGGTTAGAATGCTCCCTGGTGGCAAAGCCTCCTCTCTTCTACTTTGGGCATATAGCTAGGCAAGGCTGTTCCTTGGAAAGGGAAATCATGCTTGGAAAGGTGGAGGTAAGCGATTGAGTGGGAGACCCCCAATAAGGCTGACAGTGACTGCAGCAATGGGCTCTCATGTGTCAGAGATGAGAACAGAACAAGGATTGGACAGGGTTCAGATCTGCTGTTCATAGGGTCTCTGAGTCATATGCGACAGCATCTAACAACAGCAAGTGCTCTTCAAAAGTCTTAGGTAAAGTTAGAACCACTGAAATTCATGGCAGTTAAAGTTCACTCATATGGTAAAGAACTGCATTGCCATTCAATTAATATGGGGTGGGGGAGGTCTTTAGAAACTTGAGTGAAAGGAAATAGAATTACCTGGGCTTGATATTTTCGAACTTTAGTTATCTGATTGGCTTTTGCTTCCATCCTTCCAACTAACGTCTCCAGTTCACACTCTAAGTCTTCTTTGAGCTCAGCGGTTGGTGACTCCTGGATAAGTTTTGTTAGCTGCTGGTGATCACTATACAAACAAAGCAAAAGTAAGGTTTAGTTCTCGATTTCTTTAGTTATCAGTTACACGTTAACACTCAAGCCAATGAGGCAAACACAACTCTTAATTCCAAAGGGCTAACCATTTGTATTACTTCCCTCACATATTAAATAGCCAAGTCTAGAAAAGGATCTTGTTCACTCACATCCTAATTGTCAGTTAAGATCCATTCACTCACTCAGGACTGACTCATAGCTGACCCTCCATCAGGTTTTTGGAAGCTGTAAATCCCACAGGAGAATGCCCCCCTTTCTGCACAGCAGCTGGGGGATTTGAACCACCAGAAAGGCGCCACCTTTAAGAATAGCTAAACTAAAATATACAGGTAGCTAAACTAAAATATACAGGCAGTCTAAAGAGATCCATACCTATGCCTTTAAAAATTTGGTCAGAAGAGGTGCCTATGAAAAAGGGTTGACACCGTTCAGCTAAAAGTTGGATGTGCAGTAAAGTGAAGGTGACTGTGAAGACTCTGTTGTAACTAGGAGTTAGTTCAGTTGTTTTAAAAGAGGTTCTTGGTTCAATCATGAAGAGAAAACGGAAAAATGACAGCTAACCACAATGCTTTGAATGTGTGATTATTCCAGTATAATCAATAATCCAATTTATTAATGCATCACGGTTCTGAAAGGGCTGAGTACCTCTTCAGAGTATCTTATTATAGAACTTCAACCTATCTGACCCAGTTCTGGTTACCCTGACTAATGCATTATCAAAATTTAAGTTTGTTCCTTTCACTTTGATATTGTGACAAAACCAGTTCGAAGCCTTGTTTTAATCAAGTAAGAATTGTCCCCAATAGTCTGAAGTTCTGAGACAGTAACAATTAAAGGTAAACTTTGCCATTCAAAACATTTAACATTAGAGAAGAGGTTCTCTTACAGCTCACTGGCATCGGGTTGAAACCGACTTGTCAGCGGCTGTAAATGGCATGACAGGAGGGCACCCATTTCTTTCTTCCTCAGAGCAGCAGGTGGACTCAAAGATTTGGGATGGCAGTGCAACTCCTCACCCTCGAAGTCATGAGAGCTCCCTCTCCTACAGTCAGTGTTGCAAATATTGTGTCCAAGAAATATTTGCTGAGTAAAAACTAGAATTAAAACCTACCAAGAAATTCAAAGATGATTCAAGAACTACATTGAATTAAAAAGGTAATACAAAGAAACAACTCACAAGCTCATTTGCCCAAATTCATCCTGTAAAGTCTGTAAGACTTCAGACAACTCTTCATTGATGCTGCTGGAGGAGGACTGTGCTACTGGCAACTTCTTACTTTTACTACATCTTGAAGAGACTTGCTTTTCCAGAGGAACATCGTTGAGCACTCGATCATTACACAAAGCTTTACTGTGTTGCTTCAGTAGATGCAAGACATGCTGGACATTGGCTACCACAGCATGGCTAGGGCTGGTGGACTAAAGAGACAAAAATATCAGTTACAACTACACCCCCTTAACCTTTTGCCTCTTAACCAGTGTTAAAAAAAGATTCCCCCCCAAAGCATATGACTTTTACCTAACATACCAAGTCCCACTAATTACACTCCCTAAATATTTTTACTACTCTCCAATTAAGGGTATGCATCCTTCTGCATTGGCAGCAAGAATCTCAACCAGTCTCTCTCTTCCAACTCTAAGTTATTAGTGTGCTATCAGTTATTCTAAAACAGGATTTTGATAATATTCTATTTGAAATTCTTAGCATCAAAAACATGTTCCTGTATCACTTTTCTACCATTTATACTTCCTGTTCTCATGCCAACTATCTGCTACTGCTAATCACTCTTCATTATTAAATCTACCAAAGCCAGACCTACTGCTATCAAGCAGATTAATGGCAGCCCTCCACTGGGTCTCAGAGGCTGTAAATGTTTACAGGAGACTGTGAGGTAAATGCTAATCTTTACCTCACAGAGATGCTATAGCAAATTTGAACTAAAGACTTTTAAATTAGCAGTCCAACATGTAAAGTACCATACCAACAAGGCTCCTTCTTTATTATCAGGATATCTGCACAAACCGAATCTTTTATGTGGCAACTTTTATACCATTCATTAGAACTTAGTTCAGATATATCCAACAATTTATTCTTGGTTCATATAAAAAGAGACTGCTTCAAATGGAGATCCCCGGACAGTTGTAATTTCATAGATATATTGTTTGAAATAAATCACTGGTTTTGACTTTCACAAGACTGGGTGGGTCTCTGAAATAGGGTATGTATAAACTTACCATTTTTGGATTGGTCAGATTTCCCCCCATCCCATCAAGTTTAAATTAAGGAGGTTCAGCAACACAAGGGGGAAATCTCACTAAGAACCAGATACTGCATTGCGTATCCTTCAGAAATAGAGATTCCCGCACCAGCCGCCTCAGTGAGGAATGAGACTGACATGAGACAGCTGCTTGAAGACTGCCTCCCACCTGAGGGGAGATGCCATAATTGGCAGGATATGGGGAACTTTGTAACATCTACTAAAGCTGTGGGCCTGAAGGTCAAAGGGCCTGTGAGCATGCTTCAGAAGAGGAATTATAGCCTGTTACGGACTTGAGATGGAACTTGTTAACTTCTATAGTAAACCCCACAAACTGTGAGGATGGGTTCTGTGGGATCTGGGTGGCCACTGCAGTGGATTTTAGACCTACTAATAAAGTAGTACAATTGGTTTTGGGATTTGTAGAAATAGATATGGGTCTGTGGAACCTTAACCCTGTGGAGAAATGAGTGGGTGTAGGATATACAAATTACTGCCTCGATCTTTACCTGTAACTATACCATCTGCAAAAGGACGTTTCGCTTGCTCGTTCTCCTCTCTTCTCTTTCACCTATGCTTTATCTGTTCTGAAATGCTGCCTATTTCTCTTGCTGAATTCATAATAAAACCTTCATTCTTACTAAGTTCTACAGGGAGACCAAGCAAATGTTTCCAACATTTAGTAAGGAAAAAAAAAAAGTTTACCAACTCACCGTTCCGGCTACAAATGGCATGTCACCCAAGCATAATCTATAATGTGGTTTTGCAGGAAAATAGTTCCTAGAACCCCTCTAAAAAAAGGAAAGAATATTAGTTACTCATGTTGATAAAAGTTGATGAAACTGGAGCAATCATTGCCCGTATTTCTCCACGGAGCCCTGGGGGATTCAAACTACGTAAGACAGACAGCCTTTTGGTTAGTGGTGTAACCTGCTACCAAATACCTAAGTGCTTCAACAGCTAACTCCTAATATTTATCAACATGCATTACACACTAAATATGAAAGGTTAAAAATGAAAAATGTGCACCAGGTTAAAATTTAGTTACACTCTGAGATACACACACAAGGGGTAAAAAAACCAAAATTATAGTATTATGAATTAGAGTAATGAATTACAGTAATATGTGTAGATTAAAATGTGTTCATCTACATGAACACATGTTCTTATTATTTGGGAAAAATTTAAAAGGTATTATTTATCTTCATTTTTTACAATGATTAGAAACGGAAGAGACCAGTCCCTAAGCTGTATGTTGTATAGAATGAATGTCTGCCTAGAACTTACATCAAGTATACTCTGTGCCCTGACTAAACTGACGCAGTTTTCTTACCTTTTCTGGTGGTTTTGACTTCTTTTTTTTAATTCTTCTTGTGCTGGCAACATATGAAGATGACTTATCTTCAAAGATAAGTCTATTTGTTTCTAAACCAGTTTGCAACTAGGAAAAATATGAGAATCTAAAATTAGTGATCTACAAAAAAGCTGAGACATACCTGTACAGGCCAGTAAAAACCAAGAGTTGCAGCTGACTATAGCCATGTCTGTCAACAAATCGTAACTATTATAAATCAATACTGATCTTTCATTTGATCTTGAACTCCTCTTAGCATTTGTCCTTTCTTTAGCCTAAAACCACTTCAGCTCCACTTTCTGTAGCTGGTCCAAGAACTGTGTTTGATGAGTTAAATGAATGCCACGTATCCAGCTCCAAACTATGCTTCAGTTTTTCCTTCTCATAAATAGTACTTCACCACTGTGCCAAGCACAAAGCAAAATATACATCTTCCTCTTTTAAAACTCATATATTCTTAAGAAATGAGAACTTGCCTTTCCTCCAATCTAGTGATTTTTTCCCTCCCTTCAACTGAAAATTATTAAGATGTTTCCCTCTTCATGTAAAGCTTTCCTGAACTTTTTATAATAGTGGACCAGGACTTTTTATTATTATCTACCTATTTTACTTAGGATAATGTCCTTCCTACAGTTCTAGGGAGATGTGCTGGCCTAGTGGCAAGAAGCTCTACTGCAATCCTAAAGGCATATGGTTTAAATCCACCATTTATTCTACCTGTGAACTAACTTCTGTGCAATATATAGCCTCGGAAAACCCACTGGAGGATCACCTTTGAGTCAGTTCCAATTTGATAACATGCAACAATATTCCTTAGTCAACCTTCAAGCCTAGGACTGAAATAATTCAATTCTGAACAAAAGATAAGCCTATATGATGATCAGTCACTCCTTAAAACAATCAACCATATAAGAATAAAAGGGCACTACAGGAAGCAGGAGTGGCATCCACTTTCTAAACAACATGCCTCCAGAAACTCTATGAACTCTGATAAATGTTGATAGTTGTAAAGGGGCTTTAGGCCTTTTGTTCACAGGGTCACTATGAGTCCTGCTCAACGTAAAGGTAATCAACAACACAGAAAAGGCTAGAAATGGACAATGGAAACAATTACAGGGAGGACTTGCGCAGAGAGGTGACTGTAATAGATGTCCTAAAATATAACCAAAAATATGAACACTTGTGTGGAAAATCTGTTTGCTCTGTAAACTTTCATTCAAATCACAAAAAAAGGTTAAGTATTTAAAAAAGAACAACCCAACTGATCCAGATTTTCAAACTTAAACCTATGTATCAAAAATGTCTGCAATTTCTAAGGAAAAAAATCAGACTTCTAAGCTCCTCTCAAGATCTCAGGGATTTCCCAGTCCAAGTTGGGAAAACATGTATTCTAAATTTCCCAGGAAATGATAATGGAGCTGGAACACTTGGCAACAAAATCCGCTCAAGAATCTCAGTAGATCTATTTTCAGGAATATCTATTTCCACACCTAAAAATTCTTTGGACACACGTCTCTGGTGGTTTGAAACTGCTAATTGCTCTGAGGTAGAAAAGACAGGCACTCTCCTTCCAAGTGATATACAATCTCAAAAACTCCACTGAGCCGCCGCCAGACCGGGGAACGCCGCTGCCAGCCGGGGCAACGCAGTGAGAGGGACCCGGAAGAGACCAGGGAAGAACAACAGCCAGCCACCTACCACGGAGCTCCAGAGGAGCGAAGACTGTGAGACCCCAGAGGAACGAAGACTACGGGACACTGTGGGAACCCCCTGCAACCCACACC